TTTTTTTTTTTTTTCTACTTTCATAATTTTTTTACTACTTAGCTTTGATTTACAAAAATTCTTCTTATGAAATAATTTTTTTATTACGTATTATTAATATGTAAAACAAATGATTTATACGAAAAATTTGTACATGTTTAGGTGCTGGGGATTTTCAAACACAAACACAAACTTATATATATATTTTTTTTCCTGGAATTTAAATAAAAAAAAAACATTGACACCAATGTGTTGTATAAAAGAATTCTAAAATATTATTACATATAAAATCTGCAGTTTGTGTTTTTTATATATAACCTTTTTTTTTTTTTTTTACATTTTAATTGAGCTTGCTTAGGACTCTTTTCTTGGGACTTAATTCCCTTTTGTAAATATAAATATATATATATACATATATAAAAGAGTGTATATGTGTATATATATATATATATACCTTCTCCGATGATGTATCGATCTCTAATTTTAGTGATAATTCTTTTTCTTACCTTAGGTTTTTGAAACAAGCAAGCAAACAAATAATATACTGTTAATTTTTTATAATTATTTTTTTGTTTTAAAATTTTATTCCAAGTGTTCCAAGCGTGGTTTGTTCATTTTTATAAGTTTATTTTCAGTATGCAGCGCAAGATATAAAACTCGGCCGGGATTAACCTATCATTACACTCACACTCATAAGGAAACAAAAGAATGTGATGTTCCAATAATGGATTGTGGCGAAAACAGCTTAGAAAGAGGATCTCCAAAGCAAAGCCTTATGACTCCGGTTCCTCCGGTTACGGTTCCGCCTGTTCACATTGTGCCTACTACCGTACCCTTGCCCCCAGCGGGAGGACAAGTGGATTCTTCTGGGCCCCCAGGTTCGGGACAGTTTCAGGAGAGTTATCTAACATTTCTTAAAGTACCTGGTATGCTCTCTTCCAAAGCAATGCATCTGTCACTTTTTACCTTTTTTTTAATACGCATTAATCTATAACATTTTCACATTTATGTTTTGAATTAATTAAAATGGGATTCAAAGTATTTTTGCTTCATTTGCTAAGTTATTTTTATTATCATTAACTTTGTTTTTTAAGTATGCACTTAATAATTATTCAAACTATTAATTATGTATTAATTTAACAAATGCTTTTTTTTCTTAAAATGAAAATTATGATTTCCCTTGACTAATACATAATAATAATTTTTTTTTTTTTTTTATTAGATTCTAAAATTCAAATTAACATATAAAAATTGTGCATTTATTTTTTTAATTTTTTTTCTTTTATTTATTTTATATAATATTTTATTAGCATGATATTATGAGCTTATTTGAGTATGTGTTACTGTTACAGCTTTTTTTTTTTTAACAAATATTTATTTTAATAATTAAATAAAGCCTGATTCTCACGATCATTTCTTTAATATTTAAATTATTATTATTATCGGTTTTTCTTGAAATTATTTCATTATTTAAAATTTTTATTTTTTTTTTAAATTGAGGGAATGAAATTTCAACATATAATTTTTTTTTTTTGTCGGTTTCTTCAATTGATTTTATTTTAAAGTTAAAAATTGTTTTGTAAATTATAAACAGGAGGGAATCGTCGCGGTCGTCAAAGCTCAGCTATTATATCCAACCCTGTAAATGTATCATCTGAGGGTGTTCCGTCTAAACCAATGTTATCAGTACCATCTGTTGATAATAAGAAAGAAATTAAAGATGAAAAACCTGCATCTTCTCCTGCTCCAAAGAAAGAGAGGGAAGACGCTCAAAAGGTTAGTTATTATTTCTCTTTATGTATTAATTAAATAATATAAATATATTTTTTAAAAAGTAAGAAATATTTCTGCTAAAGGGATGACAATAGGAACGTCCAACCATCTTCATATTTAATTTATTATGAAAAAAAAAAGGATTCGAATTAGGCATGTTGGGTGTATTTTTAGACAAAACCTTGATAACACCTAATTTCCTCATGCATGACTAAAGTTTTTCTTCAATCTCAATGTTTTAATATCCTTTCAATTTTGGCTGTTTTGGTATTTTGCTTCATTTCATGTCGGCCATTTTATTTATGCTAGTCTTTTATGCTTTTTTTTTTTTTTTTTTGTATTTTAACCTGCTTTCATTCCTGCTTTTCATTTTCAATTAAAAATATACTTTTGTATGATTTCTAAAAAAAAAAAAAACAAAGTGATTCATTTTTTGTTATTATAGATGGACTGTACGAAAAAAACAGCTTTGCCAGATGATAAGGCAAGAGTTGCTGCATCACCATATTGCGATTTTTGCCTCGGAGATTCGTCAGAAAATAAAAAAACAAATGCACCTGAAGAATTGGTTTCATGTTCTGACTGCGGAAGATCTGGACATCCTTCCTGTTTATTATTCACACAAAATATGATAATATCAGTCAGAAAATACCGATGGCAGTGTATAGAATGCAAATGCTGTTCAGTTTGCGGAACGTCAGATAACGATGTAAAAAAATTTTTTTTTTTTTTTTACTTTAAACTCACTAACTTCTTTTTTTTTTTTTATATATATATTAATTAAATAATAAATGATTTTTAGGATCAATTGTTATTTTGTGACGATTGTGACAGGGGTTATCATATGTATTGTTTAACGCCACCATTAATATCACCTCCGGAGGGTTCTTGGAGTTGCGGCCTTTGTCTTGTTGAATTTCATCGCGCCAAATAAAAACAAATAAATAAAAAAATCCTCTTTGATGATTTTTATCGTTTTTTTTTTTTTTTTTTTTTTTTTTTTTGTACGTTTGACAAGTTTAAGTTTTTTTTTTTTTTAAAGTGACTATTCTTGGTGTAAAACTGTTATCAGTAAGTGTGATTGTTAAAAAACAAAATGTGTTTTGTATGAATAATAATGTGTGAATTTCATTATGAGGAAAACAAAACAATTCCTTTTTTTTTTTTATTTCAACTGTATCAAATACCCTAATACAGTTTTAAACTAATTAATTTTGATATTTTTTAATAGCGACAATTTATTTAAGTTTTTTTTTCTCTTAACATTCATTAAGTAAAAAAGTAAATTTTTGTTATTATTATTATTATTATTATTATCCAAGAAGAACTAATATGGCTAAACAACAAAATATATAATTAATAAATAATTTATTTCAATTATAATTATACTTGTATAAATTTAATTTTTGTTTGTGTGTTTATTTTCAAAAGGAAAAAAATTTTTCATTCCATTTTTAAAGTATTCTATATTTATTAAGAAAGATAATATTATTTTAATAAAAATTTATCCACTTCTTCTTTCTACTTAGGATATATAAATGAAAATCAGGAGGAATTCAATTTAAAAAATTTACATGATAATTTTTCTTTAAAAAATATAATTTTTTACTACATTTTCAATCTACAGTCATATAAAAATTTTTTTCATCTCAATATGTATTGATAATAAGTAAATTTTTTGAGCAATTAACCATTCCAGGAAAAACTACGTTCCACGGCTCTTTTCCACTTGGAATACCTAGCTTCACGTTCTATTAAAAAAAAAAATAATTTCATAAAATAACTTTACACAAGGTTGTGTTTATTTATTAATATATTTATACCTTGTTCATCTATTGATGGATTAAATATTTTATTAACAGGTATTGAAATATTATTCAAATTCCATACACTGATTCCATCGGCTATTCCTGCTGCGATTGCCGCACCCAAAGCAGTCATTTCGCTATTTTTGGGTCTCACTCAATAAAAAAAAAGAATAAAAATTGATAAATATGAAAATTTAAAATGTTAAATCAAGATATTATTTATTCATGTGAGTATTTTATTTATAATTGTATTTTTATTCATGAAAAAAAAAACAGATTTACTAATCAAACAATTTTTATTTAAAATTACCTATTGAAATACCACATAAGTCGGCTTGGAGTTGCATTAACAAATTGTTGTTTGTCATTCCTCCATCAACTAAAAGAGATTTCAAACGAATTCCGCTATCTTTTTCCATGGCTCGAACAATGTCGTTGGTCTGAAAACAAACTGCTTCAAGGGCAGCTCTTATCAAATGACTGCTTTTAGTATTTTCAGTTATTCCTATAATAATGCTTAAAGAATTTTTTTTTTTCGGCTTTTTATTGTAAGTATTGTACATATAATAATTTAATTAATTTTCACATTAATATATATTTTTTTTCAACCAACCCTCTTGCATTTTGCTCCCAATATGGAGCAAATAATCCTGAAAAAGCTGGCACAAAGTAAACATCATTAGTCTCATTGACAGCTTCTGCAATTGATTCTGCAGATTTAGCATTATCTAATAATCCCAAATTATCTTTTAACCAATTTAGAGCAGCACCTGCTACAGCCACTGATCCTTCTAAAGCATACATAGCTGGCGCTTGAGCACCTAATTTAAAAGCCACTGTGGTCAAGAGTCCATGTTTAGAATCAAGTTTTTGTGGACCTATATTACAAAGTAGAAAACATCCTGTTCCGTAAGTACTTTTAGCTTGACCTTTTTTTAAACACATATGTCCCAATAGAGCTGCCTGTTGATCTCCTAAACACTGAGAAATGTAAAAAAATACAAAATGTAAGAACAACATGTTTAAAAAGTAATAAGATAAAAAAATTTAGACTGTGTAAATTTTAACCCCAGAAATTGGGACTCCCTTAAGCTGGCCACTTGCTATTGTACCAAAAATTTCTGATGAACTTTTTATTTTTGGAAGCCATTCAATATTAATGTTAAAAAGATTACATAAATCTGAATCCCAATTGAGAGTATTTAAATTCATTAAGAATGTACGAGATGCATTTGTACAATCTGTAGCATGTACATGTTCTCCGCTGTTTGCATCTTTAGTTAAGTTCTAAAACAAAATAATATTTAAAATATATATAATAAAAATCAATATATTATTAACCTTACAGCAATAGACTTAAAATTTTAAAATTAATAAATAATATTAAATACTTTACTTACATATATAATCCAGGAATCAATAGTTCCAAAACAAACATTATTTTTTTTGGCAGCCTCTTGTACCTCTGGAATATTGTCCAAAATCCATTTATATTTTGGTGCAGAAAAACTACAAGTCAATGGAAGACCACAAACTGGTTTCCAATGATTGTAATCATTATTTGGCACATCATTTAATAAGGTAGAAACAATAGTTTGAGCTCTTATATCTGACCAAACTAAATATAAAGACTCTTTTCATTCACTAGGTCATTATGAAGTAAAAAATATTAAATGTTAATTTAATATTCATGAACATGTTATTCTTTGTACATTTCAAAGTACAAAGAATATTAAATGCTTTAAAACTAACCTATTGCATTACAAAAAGGTGCACCAGTTTTTTTATTCCAAATAACAACAGTTTCTCTTTGATTTGTAATTCCTATGGCATATATATCTGTCACTTCAATCTCCATTTCCTGTAGCTTTTCTAAAGTGGCACTGATACATTCGTTTATTAGGTTTATTATTTCAATGGGGTCTTGTTCGACCCAACCACTTTCAGGGCAAATTATCTTCAAGGGAAGCTGATGCCATGTTATAATTTCGAAATTGCGGGGGCAAAAAACAATAAATCGTACGCTACTTGTACCCGCATCAATTGCCCCAACTAATGGTCCAAATCTCCCTGGCTCAGACATGACAGACACTAACTTAAAACTACCATTAAGTAAACTTTAAATTGACAAGTTCAAACTTTAAAAATTAACTATAGGCATTAATTCATTGTTTCAGTAAATCAATTAAAAAATAATACAATTTACATTAAAAAATAATAATTTATTAAGTTAATGAAAAGTATTACAAATTAAGTTGTTTAATTATAAATGAGTTAACACAATATTTTACATGGATATCACAAAAAATTAATTTTAAAATAATATTCTATTTTTTGTGTGTGTATGTGTGTGTATTTAGGTCACTAGTATTAAATTCAAAAGTCAATAAATACAAGTTGAGAAAATTATAGAAGCATGAAACACAATCGAATTTGAAGCTTTTAACGGTATTTATATCACAAAAAGAAAGTAATAAAAATAATACTTAGCAAAAATATTTTCAAAATTTTTCTTCAATATTAAAACATCGAACAACAAAATAAATAAATAAAAAAATTTTTTACGATCCAATAAAAGAATTAAACAAATTTAAAAATTATTTTACTGTTTAATAATTTCCAAAAATTTATAATCAGTTTAAAAACAAACTTATAAATGCAATATTACTCTTAGAAAAGTTTTTACTATCGAACTTTGAATGGTAAATTTAAACCATAGGCATATATTACTCGGATAATTAATTTTACTCCAATTTGAATACCTTAAATTTCATTCGCATAAAAAATTGAAGATTTAAATAATTTTAAAAAAAAATCAGTAAAAGTAACTTTGTTTCTTAGAAAATATTGAGTTTAGGGCTGTATATTTATTAATTAATATGTACCGGTTGTATGTTCTAATGAAAATTGTATAATAATAATAATAATTTTACTTTAATAATAATTCATTACTCAAATCAGACGATCAAAACCCTAAGTTTTGGTCTATGGTCGAAAAAAACGTTAATTTGTTTGGCAGGCGTTGCATGCTATTCTATTTCATTATGGGTTTATTTTCTTAAACTCTGTAATAAAATTTTTATATTTTCTTTCTTTTTTCTTCTTCTTCTTTTTTTTTTTTTTTTAAACAAAAGAAACAAATAATTTTCTTTTAAGCACATACTACAATTCTATTTCTTCAACATTAAAATTTTGAAAATGAATCATCTTTGATAGAGTGAGGTTTTGAATTTGTGATATGTGTTCAATGTAGGCAGGGAAATTAATTGTTTTTAAATATTTAATTCAAAAAAATGATACCAGAACAAAGTTTAATTGGTGCAAGAATTGATTCATCCGGATCGCGAGGAACAATAAAATATGTTGGAGAAGTTAATGGTGTTCAAGGACTTTGGTTCGGTATAGATTGGGATGACCCTAAAAGAGGAAAACATGATGGAACTTACAATGACATTCGTTATTTTACGGCTAGGTAAAACTTTGTCGTTCAAATATTATGTATTCATGATTATTTGCTATTATTTAACAACAGTATATTATAAAAAAATTTAAGTCATCCAACGTCGGGCTCATTTGTTCGACCATGTAAAGTAAGCACAGGAATATCAATTGTTGAAGCTATTAAAGAAAGATATGGATTGACATCAGATCCTAATGTTGGGCTAGATCAAGAAATTATTATTCAAGTTCAAAAAGAAATTAAAGCGAAAATATTTGAAGTCGTGGGAGCTGAAAAGTTAAACAGAATACAAAGGTAAGTTTAATAACTTTTAATCTAAATTAAAAATATTCTAATAATAAATACAAAATATCTTTTCTAATTTTAATTTAAAATATTCATCCAAAATTCAATTCATAAATTTAAAATATTTAAAGATATTATTGATAAGAATATTTATTTTAAAATAAACAAAAACAGTTTTATTTCATAACTATATGTAATGTTGAGTTTGCTAATCAAAAACTCGAACATGAATTAAAAACGATTATCAGAAAATAAAATTTTTTGAAAATTAAGGAAGTTAAAAAAGTATAAAACTTTCTAATGGAATATACTAATCATTTTTATGCTTGCCTCTTTTAATAATCGAGTAAACTTCTAATATTTGAATACAATATCCTTTAGTATATTTTATTCAAATAACATTTACAAAGTTACTTTTTTAAAACAATAAATCACTTCACTTTATTTTTTTGATTAATTTTTTTTATTAAAAAAATAGTCTAGTATGCTTTGTCAAAATTTTATTTAAAAATTTAAATCAGTTCACAATTAAAATATTTTTATACAGTTTCATAATGTTACAAATTTTTTTTTTTTTTTTTTTTTAATTACATAATATATAAACACTTTAAAGGTTTTTCAATGTGTGAAATAATATCCTCCAGGGGTATGAGTCCGAGGATCATAAATTATTAGCGGGAACATGACACAAAATAATTCTTCATGTTTCTGATTAGAAGTTTCCCAATACAGTTCAACTCTGATAGGTTGAACATGAAAATTTGGTTTTATTTGAATAGAATACATTTTTTTTTCTTGTTGAAGAATCGGACATACATTATTTGGACAACTAATAGGTGTCACATCAATGATTTTTTTATTATTAGCCAACATCATGTAAACTTTGGTTGTAATATTAGAAGCTGTAATATCTGTAGAAATAAAAGAAACAGTTGCATCTGTTCTCTTCTTTAAAGGGAGCCAACATGGCTGAGACTTGCAAGGCAAATTAAGGACAACTTCATCTACCATATAAGAACCAACCGATCCACAATCTTGAAAATGAATTGGGGTTCCAATTACACCATATAATAAATTCAAAAAAAGAGCTATTTGAAACATTTTCACAATTTAATAATCTTTATACACTTATAAAACACCACTTATACTCCTCAAAACTGTTTACCTTAAAGAAATATTGATAGTACTGATAGTAATATAAGCACTAGAAATATTATCGCTCAAACTGTGATTAGATTGTTTTAAAAGGCTATGCCTTTTTTATCATACATTTTTGTATACAGTTAAAAATATACTGAAGGGAGAGTTTAAAATTCCATGGAGTATCAATGTTAATTCAAAAGACAATTCAAGAAAAATTAATATTAAAAAATGTTTGATTGAAAAAAATGATTTTATTTACATTTTAAGATAAATGAAATATACCAAAATATTTTAATATCTTTATTCATTTTACATACATATATATGTAAATTTTAAAAAAGGCAAATAATAAAATATTGTAAGTTTTTGTAGAAGATAATTTGCCAAGTTGGGAGTATATGATTAAGAATTATTTATGAAGTTTTTTTTTTTTTTTTTTAAGGAAAATTATTTTCATTTTCTTTACATTTTTTCCTAAATCTTGTCAATAATTTTGATTATTAATAAATTTATAATTATCTAAAAATTAACATTTACGTTTTATTTTTATAAGTATCTTATCTTTGAAAAATAAACGTAATCAATACTTGAGATTTTTTAATATGAATTGAATTGTTATTAATGATAAATCTTGAAAAAAGAAAAAAACCATTTTTTGTTACTAAGAAATAACTCTCTTAATTAATCTCAAGACAGATTGAAAATTTTTTTGCAATTAATGAAAAAATAAAAATTATTTTGGGTTGTTATACATATAAATTTCATGTCATAATTTTTTTATTTTTCAGCGATTTCAGAAATTTAAGAATAGTACTCCTTCGTGATTTTCTCGTTAATGGAGCCGGTCCTCCTCAAGCTTTATTAAATTTATGCCCTTCAATTCAAGAATTGGATTTATCTAGAACATTACTTAACAGCTGGGAATCAGTTGAAGAAATAACGAGTCAACTAAAAAATTTAAAAATTCTTAATTTAAGGTAACTTTATTTCTTATTTTAATTTCATTTTCACTTGGTCTCTCATGTAAAAAAAATATATATATATAAACTTTATTTTTTCAGCAATAATCGTTTAAAAATATCGGAAAATGTTGTTAAAAGTGAATCATTCCAAAGTTTGGAACATATTGTTTTGGGAAATTTAATGTATTCTTGGTTTCAAGTTCTCGAATGTTCAAATTTTTTTTTAAATATTCAAGCATTACAAGTTCAGTTCAATAATATAGTGACATTAGAAACTCCGAATGAAAAAATATTTTCTAATTTGTGTATGTTAGATTTAGAGGGGAATCCAATTAAATCCTGGAACGAAATTAATAAAATTGGTTATATAAAAACATTAGAAACGTTAAATATAAGCCAATGTGGTATCGATAATATTTATTTACCCGTAAATACGGATTCATCTCAAGTCACGGATTTGTTTAAAAATTTAAAAAATTTAATTTTAAACGGAAATAATATTAACGATTGGGAATCCATATCTGAATTAGACAAATTGGAAAACTTGTACGATTTTAGATTTAAAGATAATCCTATTTTGACAATTGAAACCATGGAAACAAATCATCAATTGATAATAACTAAAATAAGAAATTTACAGGTATTTAAATTATTTTTCAATATTTTTCATTATAAAATATTAATTTTAATTGGTTGTCACGTTTTAAAGGTATTAAATGGAGAACAAATATTAAAAGAAGAAAGAAAAGGTGCAGATATAGATTATTTAAAACGTTACGGAAGAGAATGGCTCGGAATTAAAAATGAAGAAGATAAAAAAACTTTCATAAAAGCTCACCCATGTTATTTAAAACTTATTTCTCGTAATAATAATAATAATAATATTTGAGCAATAATTATATTTCTTTTATTTTTTAATAATCTCATATTTTCAGTATATGGTCCACCAGAAGAATGCGAATTGAAAAAACTTCCGACGTCTTTAAAAAGTCAATTAATTCAAATAGAAATATTTTCTGGTGATAAAAAATTTTCTAAAAAAGTACCTTATAATATGTCAATACAAAAATTGTCTGGTCTCATACAGAGATTATTTAATACTGGATTTGCTATGCCCAGACTTTTTTGCATTCACTCTCAGGTACGTTAATACGATTAACCTTTTTTTAATTTTCCTTATTTTTAAAATTTTTAAAATTAATTTTTATTAATTTTTAGAGACGGGATAGCGTTGAAATTCCTTTAGACGATATCCTTAAAGACCTGAATTTTTATTCTGTGGAAAATGGTGATAAAATTGCCGTCCATTGGTAAACTTTTCTTTTTTTTTTTTTCATGTTGTGTTTAATATGTGATATTAATAAGTGCATTATTTATTGATACTAAATTAAAATTATTGTAAAAATAAGAAAAATTAAATTTTTTATTTGAGTTATTTATTAAAATTGTACAAAAATTAATATTTTTTTTTTTCTAACAAGTTAAATTTGCAAAAATTTTGTTTTTATTAAAAAAATTAAAATTTTTAATAAATTGACCATAACTTATTCCCCTTTTTCTTGTTCACCAATCATTTATTTTCCCATTAAATTTTTATTATATTGTAAAAATGAATTTGTCTCGATAAATAAAATAAGTTTATAAAAAATGTGTAGTCCATATATGTAAAGTTTTACATATTGAGTGATGAGTATCAATAGATATTATTGTATAATTCTTAATTTTACATTTTAGTTATGTATTTTAAATCATATCTATCAAATTTTAAGAACTTTTTTTAATATGAGTTTTATTCAAGAAAGACAGTTAAAAAAATTTTTTTTGATTTTAAACAAATATTACTCACCCGTTAAGTCATTCATAATAAAACTTCATTTACTGGAACAAACTATTGTTGAAATAATAATAATAATTTGTATTTTGTTCTCAAATTTTTCAATTATAGATATAAAAAAATTAAACAAATCACATTTCACTATTATTGTTAATATGAATAATATTTAAAAGAAGCATTTTTCACAATTTTTATTTCTTAATTTTTTTTTTTTTTTAGGTAAGTTCAATTTTAGAAAAATTCAATAACTTCATAAATTTTAAATTCTGTTAGTGTGATATTAAACTATTCCGTGTGTAATGATATTTTAATAATAAAATGATTCACGAAATCAATTACTACTTTAAATAATAATAAAGAAAATATAAAATTTTGCTTCGTAAAATCTTAAAAAACTAAACGAAAATAAGTTTTCCCTCGAAAACCATGTTTTTAATACCAACTGTATGTTTAATGCCAACTATTGAGGTTTACTGAAAATAAAATTTACAATATTGGCAATATTGGCAACATTGCAAATATGGCGGCCATTTTAGTTTTAAATGCGAAGTGTTTATTTGCAGTGTTATTTTTATTTTGAGGAAAGTATTTAAAGATACATTTTTTTTTTTTTTTTTTGTGTGTATAATAAACATCATGTCTAATCATTGTCACAATCACAGTGGTTGTGAACACGATGGTGAAAATAACGAAAAATCAGAAATAGGCATTCAGTATAGCTTATTTAAAAAAATTGATTGTGATAATTTGGAATGTTTAAACGAAAAAGTTCAACATTCAGGAAAAGAAGTTTTTAAACCATGGGAAAATAGACTTTGTAAAAATAAAGTATTTATTTTGCTTTTAATTGGCATTTTTTATATTTTTATTGAGTTTAATGATTTTTTTAAATAAATTTTGTTTATTTAGTTAAATTTTTTTTTAGTTTGTTGAAAGTGACGTAGATGAAGAATTATTGTTTAACATTCCTTTCACTGGAAATATAAAACTAAAAGGGATAATAATAATTGGGGGAGAAAATGAATCACATCCAGCTAAAATGAGATTGTATGTTATTAATGCAAAAAAATTTCACCATATACTTTTATATATTATTATTATATATATTATTATATATATAATATATATAATTATAATATGTATAATATAATATAATATTATTCCATTAAATTATTATTATATAGTATTATTACATAATATTATATAATAATATTATTATAATATATATTACTATATAACATTATATATATTATATATTATATGTATTTTTTACTTTTTGAATTTGTAAAATTTTAAATTTCAGGTTTAAAAACAGACCAAATATGAGCTTTGATGATGCTGCCATTGAATCGGATCAAGATTTTGAACTTCATCCAGATGCAAATGGTATTTTAGAATATTCTACAAAGTAAGTATATTTTAATATTAATTAATTATTTTTTAAATTGTTTAAACTTATTATTATCAAATGACATTGCATCGTAGAATTGTAAAGTTTTCTTCTATACATCACCTATCTATTCACATCCCAAAAAGCTTTGGTGGTGATTCGACAAAAATATATTACATTGGTTTAAGAGGAGAATACAGTGAGGGATATAGGCATGGGGTTACTATATGTACTTATGAAGCAAGGCCTAATATAGCAGATCATAAAACGAATTTATCAGAATCACTTGTACGAGAAATACAGTAAAGTTTTTTTAATAATAATAATAATAATAATAATTTATTTAAATCAATTTTTTTTATTGTTATAAAATAAATATAATAACCATATGATATTTTAAGTATTTATTTATTTGTCGCCTAATTATCATGAGCTTAACAGATATTTTTTTTCAGGGTATTTAATTGTAATTCATAAAAGGTTTAAATTTAATAATTATTATTAAATTAACATTGACATAAATTTTTAAGTATTTATATGTGTGGGATTTGATTGCTCAATAAAATGCTGTGAATCATTCAATGAATCATTGAATTTAATTACTTTAGGTTTCAAATTAAAAATTAAATTTTTTTTTTTTGAAATTTTTATTTATTTCATATAAAAACTAATTTAGTAAAATTAAAATAAAAAAAAAAAATTATAAAAAAATTTAGGAATGATAATTGTTAAAATATATTCAAAATTCTACAAGGTTTAAAAATTATTTTCTTCTCTAATTTCGACAATGAAATGTGATACTTAAAAAATTTGTCTAAATATGTTTAATGAAAAATAATCGATAAGTAAAATCAATTGATAATATAACAGTTACTGATTACTATTTTATTTTAAATTTACCTATCTTTCATATAATAAAAGTAAACAAAAATTAGTTCTATATTTAACTAATAAATTTAAATTAATTAATAATAATTACATAAAACTTTACAAATATCACATGTAAAAAATGATATTCAAGATTTTTAATTTTTAAGTATTACATTCAATATTAAAAATGATAACCTTTGAATATATACTGAAAAATACTTATTTTTATAAATTTTATTTTATATCAATTACAATAACTTTTGTCTTTTTTATCTATTAAAAAATACCTTTCTGTATCACAGACACAATCCCTTTTTTTTTTTTTACAGAGTCTAACTAACATTAAAATACTAAATGTGAGCACCTCAAATTGAATAAAATAAAACAATTAATTTTTTTTTCTCTCTTAAACTTTGTATCATTCTATAATTTTTGTAAATATACACTTTAACGGTTTTAATTTTAATTTAAATGAGATTTAAACTATTTTACTGTCTAAATTTTCCATTAATATTAATGTCTATCTATCTGTATATTTACATATATATGTATGTATTATTATTATTGCTTTAGGTTTTAACAAATATTTTACTTTTATTTTAAAAGAAGTTATTTTGTTCGCGAATATAGAATCAAATCTTCTCCCGTTAATAGTAATCAATCAACATCTTTAATCGATTCAAATTTTATCCCATACGTCATTAATAAATTTTTTTTTCCTCTTTGATTTCTTAGAGTAAAAATTTATACATATAAATCATATAAATTGCATATTGTTAGTAACAAATAAAAATTGGGTTTGTATAATTTTTTTTTTAATTTGTTTGAAAACGAAATTTAAATTAGACTTTTTATATATTTTATAACAATTTAGTCGTAACAGCTGGAGAAGAATTATTTATTATTTTGGAATCATATGAATTTTCTGTTTCTGTGTTTGGAACCGGTGTTGTGTCTTCAATTAATAAAACATCTGGAAGCGTTCCTAATTCTTCTGTTAGTTCTTCTGGTATTCTTTCAACATCTGTTTTTAATGTTTCATGAGTTGTTGCTGGGTTTTCGCAAAGTGTTTCCTCCTTTATCGGTGGAAGAAGAGTTTTATTTACAAATAAAAGCTTATTTATGTAAAACATTGTTCCCAGGTTATACACGAATATTTCACTTTCAACAATTTTAGCATCGTTTACGTAAATACTACCTGCAATATATATATATAATGCATAATTAAATTGTTTCTTTTAAAAGTAAATTAATTATTATTATTATTATTATTTTTTGAATACTTACCAGAACTATTATTGATTAAAATTGTTTTATTTCCAAGAGTTATAAATTGTGTTTGATTTTTTAAATCTCTTTCATAAAGTCTACCTTTCACAAAATGATTGAGCAAAATTGATATTCCCTCTTGGTTTGAAAAATAATTATCTTGAACTTGTCCTAAACCGAATTCTTCGAAAGCTTCATCAGTTGGCACGAAAAAGGTGTATCCTAAAATGATGGAAAAAAAAATAATAATAATGATATGATTTGAAATAATATATGTTGTTGTAAATACTCTTCTTACCTTTTCCAGATACATGTGGTGCAAGATCTGCTGCATTGAGAAATCTTGTGATGTGAGAAAATTTTCTCTGGCGTTCCAAAGCCAAAAATGCATGAGACAAAAATTGAGCACCAAACCAAGGAAATGCTAAAAGTGGAGGAGTTTCTTTATCTTTATTTTGCTGATGAAGTTTTTGTACTTCAGCTTCATTTACAAACAAAACCTCTGATATGAACATGAGATTTCCATGATGAATCGGTGTATCTCCTCTTACTATTGGGGCTCCATTCGCACTCAAAAAAAATACTATAATGAAAAAGTTGCAGATAGAAATATTAAAGTTTATTTTTAATAAAAAAAAAAAAAAAGGTAATAGTTATTTAAGCAATACTTATTTAACTCAACTACATATTTTTATTGACTTGTAATTGATAATTTATTTTTTATAAAAAATCATCAGTTGATTAACGTTATTATTTAGTAATTACTCTTACATTTATTATAAAATTATTACGTTGAAAAAAAAAAACAACAGAAACAAATTGTTTGACTTTATCTGTAATTATTGAAGTGTGCATGTGTGTGTGTTTGTGACAATGTATCAATAATTTATAATATTTACTTAAACTACAACAAATTTTAATTTTTAACACTTACAATTTCTTGTAAAAACTATTTCCCGTCCGCCTAATGTTTTTACAACTTGACCATCTTTAATATTGTCTTGCCTGAGATTTTTCGATATAAAATGATTTATAATTATATTTTCAGTGAATTCCGGTACCGAAAATGGGTAAAATCCCCAATCTATGGGATGCCACCTCTGAAAAGCATGATCCGTAGGAATCAAAACGGTATATTCTTCATCTGTAAATCAAATACAATTCAAATATTAAGAAGATGATAAGAGTGATGTAATTAATGGGGGGGGAGGGGAGTGGGAAATTATTTATAAAAGTAATATGAAATAGTCTGTAATACCATTCTTTAATAGAAGAGAAACATTAGACCGGGATAAAAAGTGTTGGAAAACTCTGACGCCATTTTTAAAAAATGATAAAAGGTCTACTAAATTTTGAAAAAAAGTTGAATTCGATCCCTCTTCGTTAGCATTTTCCATTTCTATCATTGTAGTTAAAACATCAGTAATAGGAAAGGTTGTTGTTGTTGTTGTAATTGTTGCTGTTGTTGTTGTTCCATCTACATCTGAATTATTTTTTACCTCTAATGGAAATAAATAATCATCTAAAATAATCATAACGCCTTTTCCTGATACATCAACTCTGGGATTAATAATTTTCGCTTTATTAGCATACAATGTTCCTAAAAAAAAGAAAAAGTAAATTTTAAATTTAAATCACATTTTTAAATTGAAATAAATATAAATTCTTACCATTTATTTCTTGTACGTTTACTGTTTTCCCGCCTAAAGTTTTAAAATTAAATTCTCCAGAAAAATCATCTAAACGTAATTTTTGTCCTAAAACTATGTGGTCGATAAGGATTTTTTTTGTTTCGTTTGAATTTGATAATTCATTATTATTATTATTATTATTATTATTATTATCAAACCTTTTTATATTTTTTGGTGTTAGTACAGTGAATGGTTCATCTAAAATAAAAAAAATTAATTATTTTTTTTAATAATTTAACATGGTTGATTTAATGGTTTAAAGTTTAATTATTTATTTTATTTTATTTAAATTTTTTATTAATAATAAATAGGTTGTGTTAATAAAAAAAAAAAAAAAAAAAATTTCTTGATTATTCTTCTTCTTTTTTTTTAATTAAAATAATAATAATAATGTCTAAGGTAAACGTTGCAACTAATTCAATATCAATAAATAGAAAATTTACATAAAATAATAATAATAATAACTTTTATATAAATTCCAATAAATAAATAAATAAAAATTTATTAACATTTAAAAATAAAAATATATTTCTAACAAATAGTAGTCAGTAATCGTTATGAATTTATGGAAAAGTTTAAACTTTTCAATTTATATTTAAATAATTCAATAAAATTAATTAATTACAATAAATTTAAATGAAAATATATAATTTATGTAAAAGCAATAAAAAAAAAAAAATTTATTTTAATATGAATGTGTGATGTTATTGAAGAAAAAAATAACATTTGATTTTTTTTGATAATAATTTTTTTTGACCTTATCAAATCATTTTAAATAAAAATAATAATAAATTAATTATTAATATTTATTATTACGTAAAAAAGAGAAATTTATTTGTCTGGTTAAAAATAAAAAAGTTATTTAAAGGTTTCTAAATAAAATTCAAATTAAATTTATTACGCAGGCTTCAGGTTTTTTAAAAATTATTTTTATATTAGTCTATATTTTTTTTTTAGTCTTATAGTTTACCTTTTTAACAAAAAAAATTTATTTATTTATTTATTAATAACCATTTGTTGATTATTAATAATTTATTAATTTATAATTAATTAATATTTATATAAAAGTTGAAAAACTAACCTTGTGGTGTATATATAAAAATTGATTTTTATTCAATGGATCGATAAATAATTGTTAATAATAATAATAATGTACCTGATATTTGAACATCATCATCGTTGAAAATAATCCACAAAGAAAAAAATTGATCGACACTTAAATTTCCGGTTAATTCTCTGCTTATGCCCGACATGTTCGGAAGTTCCAATGATTTTGTCAAAATAATTCCAAATATTGATAACGTTAAAAAAAAAATTAAACATTTTTCATACATATTTTTAATTAAATTAAAAACCATTATTTATTATATTTATATAATTTAATAAAAATTCATATCACGGTTATTAATTATATATATCAAGAAAAAAAATAAAATAAAACAACACCCGGTAGAGTCTGATGTAATGAAAACATAATAATAATAATAATAATAATATTTATTTGACAATATGTGTGTTATAGAAATTTGCTGGCAATCATAAGAAAGAGTGTCTCATACTAAGCGAAAGCAAGATTTTAACATTCTTCAAATGGAGGATCGTTCAAGTTGCAACGCCATGCGCCACCCAACAAGAATCGATTCTTCTCAACATCCAGCTTCCAATTGAATTAATCATCTGAGAAAGATGCAGGTAACCGCATTCCATATTATTACTTTTTTTTTTTTTTCTCTTAATTTTCTTGGAAATTTAAAAAAAAAAAATTTCCAATTTATCATTAATATTAATATTATTAGTAGTAGTAGTAGTCGTTGTTAATTTAAAAACGATGCTTCATCCATAATTATTTGAAATTTCACTTCCTTGTTTTTTTTTTTTTTTTTTTTTTATACTAACCGTTATATTTATTATCTTGTTTCGAATTCCCCATTATAATATAATTATTATTATTATTATTAATTTTTAAAAAGAAAACTTTTTTTTTCGATGAGGAAAATGATCGATTCAAAATTCTAACAGTTACGTTCCCATGAGGTTTCTGTTAATATTTATTTCGTATTGTTAGAAATTATAAAAAATAATTAAAACAAAATAATATAATTGAAATTAATTCCATTTTATTAATTAACAATTTATAAATAAATATACAAATGACTTCTATTAGAAAAATAAATTATTATTTTTTTTTTTTTTCTTCATCAAATCAATGAAACGTTTTCGAATGAAAATTAATTAATTAATTTAAATTATAAAATTCTTAATAAAATTTAAATACTTTAACAAAAAAAAAAAATTACCTAATTATAATAAATAAATAAATAAATTTTGTCTACGATTTAATCTTTTCGGTTAAATGAATTTTAGCTTTTAATATTCTTTCTTTTTTTAAAGCTTGCCTAGATTGATAAATAATTTTAGCAATTCCAGTTCTAACCCATTCGGGTTTTTCGTGTATGGTTATATTTAAAATTTGCCGTATAAAGAAAAGAACGTGTTCGATTAAAACGAATAAAAGTACCCATTCTAATTGTGACATTTGAGGTGCTAAAGCTTTCAATTGTGGTGATAAACATAAAAGACCACAATTTGTCATTATCGATATGGCTCCTATCCATTCGAAAGCTCTCTGAAAAAAATTATTTTTCCCTTTTAAGAATTCAAATGCATTACTTACGACTTAAATAATTTATGGTTAATTAACCACAATAATTAATTTTCAGGTTACCTGCCACGCTCCAATGTCCTTCACTCTTCGAGGCATTGTTCTTTGACAAACTTTACACAATTTAAAAGCATCAGCTCGTATTTCTAAAAAATTATTGGTAACTGCCCAAAATGCTGCCATCGGATAAACCGATGAAAATAAAACTACGTAACCGAATTGAATAAATATTTCTAAATAATCATCGTAAGTACCCTAAATTTAAATAAAATTAATTTTAATAAAGTTAGCTTAAATGAATTTAAATCATTTAAAAAAAAAAAAAAAAAAAATGAATTCTTTTTCATACCTCGTAAGGTTCTAATCTAGCTTCGGTAATTGCTTGTTCTATTCTGCTGTCATTTTTATCTAAAACAGGAACATATTGCAAAATAGTATTGACTTCTTCCGTAAAATTATCATTTAGTTTTTGCTCTTTATTTGCTGATGAATTTTTGCAAAAAAATTTTTTACTCTTGAAAAATTTTGAAATCTGGATAAGAAATTAATAAAGTCAAAAATTTTGTTTTTTTTTTGTCTGGGATATCCGCGTATCGAATGATAAAATTAAAAATTTACTCTTTTTCCATAAAGCCTAATAACAAGAGGAACAATGGCTTCTTGTAAATTATTAAATCCCTGTTGAATGATTAACATGGTTGCTAATTGAAATTTAAGCATTTCCAAATCTTGAATTACAAAAGCTATGTAAAATAATGACATGAAATTGTTTAGAAATTCAAACATTACTAATTTTGTGATTCTATATCGATCGAATTGTGCTTGAGTTTTATGATTTTCTAAAATAATCAAAAAAAAAAAATTCGAATTAAATAAAAATAATTTTTGTGTGAAAAATATTATTATTATTATTTTAGAAAAGTTGAACGAACCCCAATTAGTTAAATATGTAGCTAATTTTTTATAATACCAATTCATTACGTATACCGAACCAGCATAAATAATACTTGGAAGTTGAATAAAAACTTTTGCCAGGTAACTATTATCTTCTGCTAATTTTCTATTTTCAATAATCATATTTTCCATATAAAATGAAAAAAGCATAAAAAAAAATGCTCCGGTTAAACATAGAAAAACTATCGGTAATGACACGCAATACATCTGAAAATAAATAAATTAAAAATTGATTATGAATAAAAATGTAATTTAAATCCACGTTTTTTATAATAAATAAGTTTGATACCTTTAAATTAGTTTTCCATTTTGGATACCGAGGCTGATATCGTCCAGTTACATCGTCTATTCCCATTTCTCCATGATATCCTGGTCGTGGCTCTTCTATAACCGTAATACCAAGGGTCCCCCACGTAAAAGCTAATTCGCTACATTTTCGTTTCCATAGCTGTTAAAAATAATAATAAATTAAGGTCGTTAAAACAAAAAATTTTCTTACTTTGATTTACTACTGGATTAAACCCATTTTCATAAAGAATTTTTTGACATAACAGAGTAATATAAAATAATTAATGGTTCGACATTAAACAGCAAACTTTGATAATGAAAATTAAACTTTTAGTAATATATTAATTACCTCAAGAAATAAAGTGACCCATAAAACATTAAATATACAAAAAAAAACGGTTGTCGTATGAGGAATTAAAGCTTCTATTAATCCTAGAATCATCGGAGGAACCAATGCACATGTATAGTAACCAAGAAATATGAAATAAAGAGCAATGTTTTCTCCAAAATAAAACCTGATGTCCTCTGTCAAAATTACAATTATTTAATTAAGCAAATTATTTCCTATAGATAATATTACATTGATTCATTTACTTATTTTATTAATTAAATTAAATTAAAGATTTGTTGTACATTGTTTTTGAGAATAAATTATAAAGGCAAAATAGATAGTGAAAACATATTTAATCAAAAATTAGTGGATACATAATACTTTAAAATTAATTTTTTAAGAAAAACTTACCATAAGGTTGATTATTGAGTAATGTCAGGTACCAAGTTTGACTAAACTTTTTCAGGTATTCTATTTCGTGAAGAGGAAAACATTTTTCCACATAACCGCAGCTTGCCAGTAACTGAACTAAAAAAATTAAACTGTAAAGATGAACAAGTTTTTAATTAAAAAAATAATTTTTTGTTAGCTTTATATCTGTCAGAAAACTATGAACAAAAACTCATTCATATATAGTCACTACCCTTTTTTTTTAATTTTTTTTTTTTTTTTTGTGAATAAAGTTAATAAAAAAATTAATTTCACGTTCGATTATACGTCATTATTTTAAAAAAATAAAACTAAAATAATGAATTTTATTGTTTTCTGACTGAAAAATTTTTGCTATAAATAAATTTAAAAAATAATAAATTAAACCAAAAAAAAGGTAATTAACACTCATTTTTTACTGAGATTTATAACAGATAATTCTAAAATGTATCAAAAACTTACAAATAGATTGACCAGGATATACTTTCAAGAATGGGTAACCAGGTAAATGATTTTCACCATCTTTAACTCTAATATTTTCCAGTTCATGTTTAACTATAGTTTGCTTTTCAGCAGTGGTAAATAAATCTTCTTCTGACATTCCATCCTTTAAAAAGCATTTTGTTTCACTCAAAACAAATTCTCTCACTAAGCCTGAATTGTCACATTTTCGAAATTCCAATTCTTCAGCAACTTCCAAAATTCTAGATGTGGATGCACTTAAATGTAAAGTAACACCCTAAAAAAATTAATAACATCATTAATAATAACACTAACAATAAATGTCAGAATACATATATATGAAATTTAAATAAATACCTTTGTCAAAGAATCTGATAAAGGCTGCCTACAAACTAAAAGTTCTCCTCCACCATTTTTTTTATGACTCTTGATTTTATTTATGAACCATAAAAGGCATTTTAAATTTAAATTTCTAGAAAATCTAACGACTAAATATGTAGGAGGAAAATAAGGAGCATCCTGAAGATTACTTTTATTATTCATTTGAAATTTAATCACCAAGGAGAAAAATTACAAAATGTCCTAAAACAAAAAAAAAAAAATTAATAATTTTATATTTAATTATTTGTTAACAATTTAAAAATTTTTTTCATTTAAAAATGTTTGAAAAAAAAAATTCTACTAAAAAACATTTATAGTTAATTATATTGCAACTTACAAATTAAAAAAATACCTTATTTTATTTGTGATTCACTTTTTTACTTGTAAGTCATGTAACTACTTTATAAAAAACTAAAATTATTAATATATCTAACAGCTAAAAATACATTATTCTATTTTTAATTCATACACACACCAAGGTTGAAATTAAATGCTTATAAACTTTCAAGCGACTAAAGTAAATATTTGTAATAAAATGACAAAGTTTTAATAACATAAATTTTTTAAATCAAGAATAGTCACACAATACCTCACTACTTGTAGATAAAGTACTGGTAAAAATAATATGTAAATTCTTTTTACATTCTTTTATCATTAGGCTTGTTTTATTAAAAACTAAAAATATATATATTTATATCATTCTTATTTTTATTTTATTCAATGAACAATAAATTAGAATAGGGTTACTTGATTAAAAAGTTTACACACAATTATCAGATAAGGAATTTTTAAACTCAAAGTATATTAATTAAAAGACTAAAAAGAGAAAAAATTGTTTTTATATTATTGTATTTAAATAAATTATGAAATATTTTTAATAGTCATAATTTTAATTTAATTTTATTAAATTTTAATTAGAATGTTATATGCATACATATATTTTTTCCCCCATTAATATGGGATTGTTACGCAATGTAAACCTATTTACCTTGCATTTAAAAATATTTGCGATAATTTTTTTTTACTTATTCTAAAATAATTTTTATACTTTTCACTAATAAATTTATTTTAAAAAATAATCATTGTCACTAACTCTTATAAATTCATAATGAAATATTTTTCGTTGATCGAGAAGAATCTTCAAGTTTCAAATTTATAATCAACAGGTGGTAACCCTGAATATTGTTATAATATATATAATCTGGAATGTTTTCAAGTTCAAGAGCTCTTTTACGTACGAAAATTACTAAAAAAAAAAAAGCAAAATTTATGCTTTTTTTCTGAAATCTAAAGAATTATTGATTATTTTTTAATTTTTTATTAACTCTACATTGCATGAGAAAATCAATAAAATTTTTTAATAACTTAAATATTTTTCTTTTCCATTTTTTGTTTACTATATATTACCTTGTTATTTAACGTTTTTTTTTTTTTGAAATTCTCTTTGCTTTTTCCAATATTAATATTAAATAATTAGTTTAAGTAAATAATTTTTTATTTGAATTTTTATTTCAGTATTTGTAATAAATGTACCATTAACAAAAAATTCACACTTAACTTATAATAAGACTAATTTTTATTTTTTAAACTAAAACTTAAAAAAAAAATGAGTTTTTCACTTCACCATTATAAAACCCTATAAAATTCAAAAATGAATTTAATTCTATGACTTAATATGTAATTAATTAGATTAAAACAAAAAAAATTACCTTTTGTTTAAAAAAAAAAAAAACTTGATGATCTTTTTTTTTTTTTTTTACTTTTTTTCAATTGTAATAAAAACAAAGGGTATAGGTTTATTTAAATCGTGTAACATAATCTGAATCCATTAAAAAAATAAAATAAAATAATCATGTTAAAGAAAAAAATTGTTTAAATTGAATAATTTGACATTGTGTAAAATTTTATTTATCAGTTAATCTTCCTATAGATTAGTTATTGTACGCCATGCAATTTTTTTTAAAAATTAATTCTTTATCAATTTCGTTTGTCTTTTCAATTAGAAATGATAAAATAATTTGTAATTTTTAAATTATTTTTTTAGTAGGTAGTACAATAATACATTAAGAGTATAATTTAATAATATTAAGGTAAGTTTTTTAATTTTTTGAACTGAAGTATTGGAAAATTAATTTTACAAATATTACATGAATATGGGTTGCCGATTGAAAATCGATCGTTTATAGAATGAATTATTAACAATTAACCGAAATATTATTTTAACATTTAAAAATTAAATTAACAATTAAAAATATCTTTTATCTTTGTTTCTTATTAACTTATATTGACTTATGTAAAAATAAAAAAAAATTAACTTTAATACATTGCTAAAACTATTAATACTAATGATATATTATATAGAGAATATCGTTTTTTGGTATCATTTTATAAATTTTTATTATGAAAAAAAAAATTTACGATGATAAAAATCTAAAATGACGTCAGCAATTTTTCGGGATACAACATCACCGCCTTGATTATAATTTTCTTCAGCCATTTCCTTAAAAGTTTTACTTTTTAAAATGTCGTCTAAAGAATTCGAAACTGGAGCCATCATAATTGGCATAAAAAATGATATGGTCACATATGCATTTAATGATGTTCTTTCAAATTCTTTTTCAAATAAACAAAATGGAATCCAATTAATAATCTTTTGTTCTTCAGCGTGAGTTAATGTGGAAATTGCTTTTATCAAATTCATATAATAATGTTTAAAAATTTTATCAAAATGTAAAGATCGAAGTTCCTGAGTTGTATTCATGTAAATAAAAAAACTAACATCTAAACAAGGAGAACTGTACAAATATGTTTGGAAATCTATAAGCATAGCTTGTGTAGGTTTTCCTTCTGAATATTTAAAGACAATATTATTTCTGTTGAAATCACCATGACAGATAACAGCCATCGGTTCTTTGGGTGAAACTGCATCTTTCATAAGATCAAAAACTCTTTCAAATTTTTTTTTAAAATTTTCTAAATAATCCTTAGGAATTAAACTTTCTTTTTGTGACAGCAAGTAGTTGATACCTCTTAAAGCACAATATCCTTTAAATTCTTGGCATTGAACTCTTGTTTCCATGTCATCCGAAAACCAAACATGCTCAAATGAGGTTTTTAACTTGTCAAAATTTTGCCAATTTAGATATTTCATGGCAAAAGATATGGCGTGGAATTTTGCCAATTGCTCTAAGGCAATCAAACAATGATTTAAATCTAATTCCACTTTATTTTCAGCCGTTTTAAATTCTAATTTTCTTAAATCTTGTAAAACAATTATAGATTCTTCGGGTTTATTTTTGGCGATAGAAGCATAATAACATTCTGGAATAATATTATTTATAAAATCAGTATTTATATCTTGTTCGGTAAGAAATTGAATGAAATTTGATTTCACTATTGTATAAAATGTAACTTCATTTTGAAATTGTACGACGGTTTTCATTTTTTCTCTGATGATTGGATCCTGGTTTTGAAATTTAATGAAAAATGAAATGGGAAATGAGCCTATTGAATTTTTTATAGTGATTTCTCCGAAAAATGGATTCGATGCAAAATTATCAATTCCTTGTTGAATATTTTCAAAATGGCAGGACTCACATTGTGGTGATATATATTTTTTTGTGGAATGAAAATAAGAGAGTATAGATGGAATCACATCATTCTGAAACCATTTTAATAGCTCTTGTTCTTTCATGTTAAATTTTTTTCTAAAAAAAAAAAAAATTCCTTTGACATAATAAATTATAAAATCAACATAATTAATATTAAGCAGCTTTTTTAGCTTAAATTTTTTTTTTTTTTTAAGTTACTTATTTTGAAATTTTTTGCAATACTCTTAAAAATAAAACATTGTAAAAAAAAATAATTAAAATGTTTTTTTCCTTAGTAAAAATATACAAGAGTTACATCATTAAAAAAAAAAAAAATTAAACTATACCATTACATTTACGTTTAAAAAATATTTAGGCTCAATAAATCAAGGTTGTTCAGATTCTTCCTAATATTATGACGCAAAGTAAATTACATTCTTCATTACAAATCTAACAGGTTACAATTTTTTTAAAAAAAATTTTACCTAAAATTTTCATGCGTAATTTTTTTTCAAAGTTTCAAATTTTTTCACTTAAAAAACTAAATTTTAATTTAATTAAAATAAAAAGTATTGAAGTATTGTAAAATATTTTACCTTTCAAAACAATTTCTTGAAAATTTATTTTAACTGCAAGCAATTAATTAAAAAATTATTTTTTATATTTCAACAATTATTAAGTTTTCCTATAATATTTTTAATTTTTATATAAAAATTTACTGCTTCAAAAAGAAACCGTTTTTTTTTTACTGTACTGTGAAATTCCAAAAGCATAAATGGCATTAACTGGTGCCACGTTAAAATTGTTTCCGCTAATTTTTCTTTCTGAATATTAAATATAATATATATATATAAATTGATTTTTTAAATCTTAAATTTTTGATTTAATCAACTAAAACCTGAGAAATTTTTAATTTTAAATTATTAACTGCTTGTAATTTAAAAATACAATAATATTTATTTAGTATCCTTTTGCAATTAATGCATTAATAATATTATTGCTTTTAATAATAACCGTAAAATTATATTTGCATTTAAGTCCAAAGGTCAAAATATACAAACCGGATACATTTTATTCGATTTTTTTTTTTTTTTTAAATCGAAAAAATTAAATATACGTTTTTTTAAATAATAAATAATTTACCATTTATTTAATCTATCACATATTACACTAGGATAAAAAACTAGCTGGTTCTAAATAATATTTTTTTTTTTATTGCTCACTTTCAATTTCTCATATTCCTTTAATTTAATTTAACTTCTCTAATATATATAATAATAATAATAATAATAATACTAAAGATAATAAAATGTAAATTTAGATAACAAAGAATAATATATATATATATGTTTATTAAAATGAAACCAAAAAAAAATATTTTAAATAATTGCAGTTTCAGATTTTATATGAGTAATAGGACTAAATAGTAAAAATAATTTAAATCACAATAAAAAATTTATTTTAGTATAGAAGTTGTGATTCTATTTATTGTTTTTTTTTAAATAATTAAATTAAAGGTATATAATAATTTCATTAGTTTGAGCAAAACCTGTAAAAAAATTCACATAGTGAAATTATTATTATTTTCACACGGGTAAAAATATATTGTTCAATATTCGTTTAAAAACAAAATTTTATTTATTTTATGAAAACCCACTAAAGCTTTAAAAAATAATAATAATTTAATAATTTCCGATATATATATATATATAATTTTTTTTTAAAAATATGATTGGTTGTTAATAAATTGTAAAAATCACTGCCGAGCAAATATTTTACTTATAGAAATAATAATTTATTAATTTACTTATCTACAACTTAATGTTTTTTTTCTATATCGAGAACCGTTTTCTCTAAAGTCATTTAAAACTAGAGCATTTTTTTTTTTTTTTAGGAAATAAAACTAATTTTCGTTTTAATCTGTTTACAGTAGATTTTACTTCTGAGGTCTCCAATCGAAATAATCAACCTGAGGTTCGCTTGATACAATCAAAGAAGATCCTTCTCCAGAAATTGACTGTTGAGAATGGT